ACTAGGTAATTTTTATTGGAAAACAGCTAAATCAAACTAACTGGTACTGGGAAAAGCACCAACTTTCTCTCAGTTCAATATAGTAATTTTTGCTTCTTAGCAGGAAAGGGAAGATGAAAGACCGACTTCAAGAACTAAAGCAGAGAACAAAGGAAACCGAACTCTGTAGAGACAGTCACGTGCTGGCTACGGAAGCAGACGAACAAGGGGCGTTGGAGCAACAAGCTGTCATTTACGAAAGGGAGCCTGTGGCCGAGAGACACCTCCATGAGGTCCAAAAGCTACAAGAGGCTATTAACAACTTCACAGATGACGTTCAAAAATTTGGACAGCATCAGAAAAGCCTGGTGGCTTCAATGAGAAGGTTTAGTCTACTTAAGAGAGATTCTAGCACTACGAGGGAGCTAAAAACCCAGGCAGAACACATTAACAGAAGCTTGGCTGAGTTAGTTAAAGAAGTGAAAAAGTCAGAGGCTGAAAATGGACCCGCATCAGCGGTCACAAGGATACTCAGATCTCAGCACGCCGCAATGGCGCGTCGCTTTCAGCAGACCATGTTCATGTACAACGACATCATAGCAGCAAAGCAAGACAAGTGCGAGACGTTTATTTTCCAGCAGCTTGAAGTTGCGGGGAAACAGATGCCTGAAGAAGAGGTGCGTGAGATGCTTCATCAAGGAAAGTGGGAAGTGTTCAACGAAAGCTTGCTTACGGAAGTCAGTATCACGAAAGCACAACTCTCGGAAATCGAGCAGAGACATAAGGAACTTGTTAATTTGGAGAACCAAATAAAGGACTTACGGGATCTTTTTATTCAAATATCTGTTCTGGCTGAAGAACAAGGAGAAAGTATCAATAACATTGAAATGATAGTGAACAGCACAAAAGATTACGTTAACAACACGAAAGAGAAATTTGGACTAGCTGTAAAATACAAAAGAAGAAACCCATGCAGGGCGCTGTGCTGTTGGTGCTGTCCATGCTGTAGCTCAAAATAAAAAAGCTATTTTAGAAACCTCTCCAGCTTAAGAGTGAAGGATTTACCACAGTTAAGTGACATGTATTGCGCTTCTCCACTTTATGGGTGGGTCAACACACATTTCATCAGTTAAGTCATTAATTTCTCCTCTATTACCCACCTGAATTGTAGAAACTTCTCAAGTCAGGGACAGCAGACAAATCTGTGTTTCATTAAAATAAAAACAACATGGCGATGTTTAAATTCCGGACTGTGAAAAATGAGACGAATGATGCTGAGTCTCTGACTATTAATCCTTGTACAGTTCTCAGACTTGCAATACTTTACCAAGAGGAATGCTCAGTGTAAGTGATGGCTACACAAGAATCCACTCCATTCACTTGAGAATAGTTCGGGAGATCAGACTTATACAAAACGAGGCCTTTAGTCAATCAGCCGACTGCCTGCACACTCGCACAGGATGTGCGGCTCCCAGGTGCGGCCAGGGCAGTGGCCTTCCACACCTTGGAGGAAACGGGTGGGGCGCGGTGTGCCCGCACAGGCTGGGTCTGCGCATGCCACACGTATGCACAGTCTGTGCATATGCCTGTAATACAATGTTGGCGTATCAGATTCTTTTCTCTCATTGCCAGGACCAAATACCCGACACCCAAGATTAAGGAAGGAAAGTAAAGGTTTACGTATCTCAGAGTTACTGCAAGTTTCAGTGCACACTCAACTGCCTTTAAGGCAGAGTGGCACGTGGCCGAGGGCAGCTGCTCATGGCAGTGAGAAAACAGCAAAGAGCAAAGGGTGGAGCGGCGGCGGCGGCAGCGGCAGGCCTTGCTCCTCTCCCTGCACCGTATGCTGATGATCCACCTCAGGGTCACTGCGCATGAGTGGGCACTCACACTCACAATCCCAGCATCGGATCAAGAGCTACTCACAACCCTAGAAGCTGCCCTGATGGCTGCATGAGGCATTGGGGGAACAACTGGACAATAACCATCACAGTTGATTTACAAAATACAGTGAAAAGGATGCTACAATACAGCTAAACAAATCAGAATGCACACTAAGTCTTTCATCCTCAGGCAGGTAAGGTAGCTCAGTAATTAACAGATCCTGAGAAAAGTCAAGTATGTACCTGAGAATTTAAGTGGTAACTTCTAGGTGGAGATCTAAGAATCAACTAAAGCATTGTTTTCTTGAACTTGGAACCATTCAGGACATGGTAATAAATCCATGGGCTTGGCATATAAAAAAATTAAGATTATACTTTTTTTAATGTTTTGATATCATCTAATGATAATTTAGGAATATAGTTAAATTCATGTTCTACTGGAGAAGGCAGATAATAAAGAAGTGAAAATGGGTCATGGTGGTGCTGCTGGGAATCCCAGAGCTTGGGAGGCTGAGCGAGGAAGAGCACCATGAGGTGGAGGTCAGGCGGCTCCGCAGTGAGTTCAAGGCCAGCCTGAACTATATAGCAAGACCAAGTGTGAAAGAAAGAAAGAGGAAAGAAAGAAAGAAAGAAAGAAAGAAAGAAAGAAAAGAAAAGAAAAGAAAAGAAAAGAAAAGAAAAGAAAAGAAAAGGAAGGCAGGCAGGCAAATAAGGACAGGTCAAATAGCTCATCGGACTACAGCACCTGAGCACACTGAGATACCAACTGAGCCTGGGTGTGGTGGCGCACGCCTGCAATCCCAGCGCTTGGGAGGCTGAAAACAGGATCACTGTGAGTCTCATCTGGGCAGTGAGACCCTGTAGACTCTGTACTAAAATACATTTTTTTAAAAAAGGGCAAATATAAGATGATGTTAAGTAGAGACAGAGATTTACAGTAACAGTGAGGAGAGGCTGCCGGGATGGCTTCACCACAACCATTCAGTGAAGGCCTCTCTGAAAAACAGGTTTTAAGTAAAACTCTAATAGGATTAATGCAAATATAATGAACACCAATGAGGGCATCTTCCAGGCCTAAGAAGCAAACAGTACAGAGATCCCAAGACGGGCATCACCTTCTTGCCTAAAGAAAAACCCTAACACAGAGGGGCACAACTCGTGAAGAACAGCCAGGTAAGGGATGAGGCCAGGAAAAGGCAGACCGGGCTGAGTGTGAGGCCCCACGAGACGCGGGGAGGTCTGACGGTCCCAGCACGTGCGAGCACACACGGCTCTCAAACTGTTTGCGCCCGAGAGCTGGCGCGCTATCCCCTGTGTCTGAGAAAGCCTTCTGCCTACCACGGAGCCCCTCAGAGCGGATCGGGAGGGGAGAAGGGCGTGCACACGATACGGCCGGAGAACAACGGAAGGGCAGGGCGTGCTGCCCCAGAGCTGAGCAACGGCTAGCGTGGTCATGCAGGCAGTGATTCCCGGTCACAGAAGCTGCACATGGCCGCTGGGTATTTGAGCACAGGAAGTCGGATTTCCAAAACCTCTTCTTGGACCAGCAAGATAGTGCAGCGGACTAAGGGCCTGCTGACCAGGCTTCGATCCCCGGCCCACATGCCATGCCAGCCGCACCCCGGAGGCATGCTGTGCCAGCCAAGAGAGTCCGGGCGTGGTGGCGCACGCCTGTAATCCCAGCACCGGGGAGGCTGAAAACAGAAGGATCACTACGAGTCCAAGCTGTGTAGTGAGACCCTGTACCAAATACACAAACTGTATATAGCAGTGTTGGAAAAAATTAAACTAGGGCTGGCCAAATAGCTCAGCGGAGCACAGGGGTTTGATCCCTGGGCCTGCCACGCCGGCCCTGCCCCCAGGGCACGCTGAGATGGCGACTGAGTCTGGGCATGGTGACATACACGTGTAATCCCAGCTCTTGGGAAGCTGTAAACAGGTGGATCACTACGAGTCTGATCTAATAGTGAGACCCTGACAACCCTGTAGACCCTTCCCTAACATACAAAAAATAAAATAAAAAATAAAAACAGAAAAAAAAATTAAACTAACTTGTGATTAAGAGTTAAACTCGGGGATGGGGAGATGGCTCAGTAGAATAAGCGCTTCCCTGGCAAGTACAAGGGCCTGAGTTCAATCCCTGGTTCCGCCAAAATAAAAGTTAAACTCTACAAAATGTTGACTGAATGATGATGTTTTAGATAAGCCAGGAAGAAAAAGCAAAATTAGCAGTTCCGCAGAACTACAGGGATGAAAGCACACGTACGGAATGCCGAGGAAAGAACAGGACGGCAAGTACAAGCAACGACCTTTCTTCCAAGAAGCCTGAAGGACACGCGAAGGAGCCCACCGGTGGGCAGCGAGGCGGAGCAGGACTGCTCAAGCCCTCCAGGCACGTGAGAGCAGTGGTTGAGAGAGCCTCCGAATTAAGAAAAGGGGGAAAGAAGCAGGAAAGGCACAAGGAGCCGGGTCTGCCGCGCAGACGGAGACGCTGGCACTGGGGAGAGCGAAAACGCACCTCGCATTTCCTAAGGAGGAAGGCGAGGTTTCGGTACGGTCAGGGAGGCGAGTCCACGTGGCGCCAAAACAAGGACAACATCTTCGTGATTGCTTTCACTTCCCTAAAGCAGAAGAAACGCGGCCACCAAGGAGGTGAGGTGAGCCAGGCCAGCAGTCATCTGCCTGCCGGCGTGCCGGCAGGGACACGCAGCTTGCTCCTTGGCATAGTCGAGGCGCGGCCTTCCACGGCTGGGGGCAATGGCGTGGGGCACAGTGCGCCTGCGGAGAGCTCAGCTGTCACGTGGGCGCGCTGTGTGCACATGCGCTATGATACAATGTTCACTTACAAAATGTGAAGGAAAGGAGGTACTTTCTAATGGGACAATTTATGAAGAACTAATAGGGGAGGCTGGAGAGACTGCGGTGGCCTAAGAGCCTGCCTGGCTGGCTCAAGGAGCTCAGTCCCCAGTAAGGCACGCTGTGCCAGCCCTGAAATCCGGTGCGGTGGGGCACACCTGTAATCCCAGCGCGGGAGGCCAAGCCAGGAGGGTCGCCACAAGCCCGAGCTGCGCAGCAAGACCCTGTACCAGATACAGAAATTAATTAAATTTAAAAAAAAGAACTACTAGGAGATAAAGTACTCCCAGCTCAGCTTCACGTTAAAAGAATATTATGAAAAGATACATTTAAAATAGAAGACAAACTCCACAGCTAACTCGATAATGACAACTATTATCTCTTTTCCTCTTAAAATTTTATTCAGAGCTTTAGTGATGCTTACTATTGTTCCTAACTTGTTTATCATGAAATCTGAGAACAGTGACACTGTTCATTAACATAATCACACACAGATAAGACTCAAGTTTCTTTAGCACGTTCCATCTGCAGCGTCTTTCAGACCGACGCTGAAGCTCAGCTTCATTACAGAGCAAGGCAGCACATGCTATCCTACTGCTGTAGTTCACACCAGTCATATAATCTGAACCCAGGCACCAGAGGCAATACTACCTAAGTACCAATATTTTATACAGTATCCTATATCCATATTTAACAGTAAGATTTTTAACGTAACAATCAGAAAGGGAAAAGATATCTGAATGAATTAAAGGCCCAATACATATCAGAAATCCACCGGCTCCGTATGTATGAGACGACAGAACTTGTTTATGAGCGTTAGAGCTCACGCACAGAGCCACTGAGCTTCCGCGTTCACAAGCTTTATGTGATTTAAACCAGCTGTGCAACCCGCTCGTCCGGTTTCTGCACCTGGACACAGCACGCCGTCCACAGCAACAACATACAATTCCATCGTCCCAGGTACACATCGGCACTGCACTCGATGCTTTAAATGCATTATTCAGAATTTTACGTAACACAGGCATCAAAATTCTTATTTACAACTAGACCATAAAACTCAGAATAAGCACCTACCCAAGGCTGGCTCCCAGCCCCCATTTTCTCCTACCCCAGTGGCTCTCTGTTTGCCTGTGCGTTGGAATGATCCAAAGAACCTGTGGCAAGGAACACACACCACCCCTGGCCTTGCCATGGAACACTGGCGCTCTGGACAGATGCAGGCAGTCCGCACGTATCTCACTGTGATCCTCGCTGTCAAACAGGTGTTTCTTTCTTGTTGTTGTTGATCTGTTT